TGTCTGCACTCTGCACAAAACAGTTTGATTTTCATGCTTTTGTCAATTTTAAGATTTATGAATTTTATTTTTTATGGATTTTCTCAGTCTAATGGAAAAAAAACATTCAAAGTATTTTTAGTCATTTTAAAGTGTCCACACTAAGTCATTCTGAGTTTGTGAATTGTTATTTGAATTGTAATGCATATTTTAAATGCCTTTTTCTCAAAATAAGTCTTAAATATCCACTTCATACATATGTGATCATACATAATTTGATTATGCATGTTTTATGTTAAAAAGACATAGTAATTTTTTTTTCTGGCTGCCTGCTGTATTCTGTATTATGAAATGACAAAAACATCCCCCTCTTTATAAACCTTTGACTCTGTCAAAATTATATTATATTATATTATATTATATTATATTATATTATATTATATTATATTATATTATATTATATTATATTATATTATATTATATTATATTATATTATATATTATATTATATTACATTATATCATATTATACTATATTATATTATATTTTACTATATATTTTATTATATTATATTATACTGTATTATAGTTTTATTATATTATATTATATTAGATTTTATTATATTTTTATTATATTATATTATATTATGTTGTATTATATTATATTATATTTTTATTATATTATATTTTATTTTATTTTTTTATATTTTATTATATTTTTTATTATATCATATCATATCATATCATATTATATTATATTATATCATATTATATTATGTTATATTTTATTATTATTATTATATTATATTATATTTTACTATATATTATATTATATTATATTATATTATATTTTACTATATATTATATTATATTATATTATATTATATTATATTATATTATATTACATTATATCATATTATACTATATTATATTATATTTTACTATATATTTTATTATATTATATTATACTGTATTATAGTTTTATTATATTATATTATATTAGATTTTATTATATTTTTATTATATTATATTATATTATGTTGTATTATATTATATTATATTTTTATTATATTATATTTTATTTTATTTTTTTTATATTTTATTATATTTTTTATTATATCATATCATATCATATCATATTATATTATATTATATTATATCATATTATATTATGTTATATTTTATTATTATTATTATATTATATTATATTTTACTATATATTATATTATATTATATTTTACTATATATTATATTATATTATATTATATTATACTATATTATAGTTTTATTATATTATATTAGATTAGATTTTATTATATTTTATTATATTATATTATATTATATTTTATTTTATTATATTTTTTATATTTTATTATATTATATTATATTATATTATATTATACTATATTATAGTTTTATTATATTATATTATATTATATTATATTATATTATATTATATTATATTATATTATATTATATTATATTATATTATAGTTTTATTATATTATATTATATTATATTATATTATATTATATTATATTATATTATATTATATTATATTATATTATATTATATTATATTATATTAATTACGACACTATTTTCACAAATAAAAAATTTTAAAGCAACATTTTAAAAGCAACATTTTATATTTCAAGCAAAATACTTTTAAGAATGTGAGAATCGTTTAGAAAAATGATCAAAAATGATAAACAGGAAAGAAATGTCGTCAAACATGCAGATTGTAAAAAAGGAGTGCAGAGATATTCAGTTACATGCTAACCAACAATAAGCAGCAGAACCAGCTTATAAAGAGTCATAGTGAAAATATAAACTCACAAGATGAGCGGTTTGCGGCAGAGCACCAGGAAATCATAGAGGACACACACCCCAAACACCGTCACCCCGGTTTCTTTCACCAACATGGCACAGGTGCCCAACAACAGGCTTAGAGCCAGAGACCACACACACACTGTAGGAGGAAACTCATCCGCACTCCTGATAGGTGACACACTCCTGAAAATAAAGAGCAAAAATAAGTGAAAATCAGCAAACTTTAGCATTCACACAGTATATAATAAACAGAATAGACTCACTTTTACAATATTCTTATTCATTTTGATAGTTTAAAAATATTTAAAGTGACATTTATAAGCATTGTTTTATATCTCATGCAAAATAATTTGTAAAAACGGTGATAAATATGATAGAAATGTTGTCATGCTGATTGTATTAAAGCCAAATCTATGCATTCAATTGGAAAACTAATAAGATTATGTACAAAATAGGTTATTTTGATTCATTTAGTCATTTATATTAATTTATTTATACTTATTTATAATAATTCTCACCCCCATAATTGAATATAATCAATTATTACATTTTGTAATCCATGCATTAGATTTTAGATCAGTTTTTTTTTATCCCATTGGAGAATGCCCTGGTGTTACCTAATATAGGAGAGAAAGGCCAGGAGGAACAGCATGCTGGCTAACACATCTGCTCTCCCGACAATCCCAGACACCTGTAAACACACAAACGTCACACTTTTATAAGCTGCCATGCTAATCAAAAACACAATTACAAAAATAACCAGCAGTAAACATTACAATTATAAAAACAGCAGAACAACAATACACACTTTTCATCAGCACCTTCGATTTTATTCGATAGGGTCACACTTTATTTTGATGGTGTTTGTTGAACTAAGTTACAATGCATCTACAGGGTTGGACATCAACTTTTTTGATCATTAGCCACTGTGGCTAGAAGTTTTCCAACATTACTAGCCACTCGCCATTTTCACTAGCCACAATTTAATTGTTTGGAAAATACATTTTACACACATAAATATGACTTTGACATGGTAGAATTACTTGATTTAGATTTTGCGTTATGTCCACACGCCTCCTCATTCATTTCACTTTTTGTGTGTCGTGTATGAGCTTGCTCAATAATCATGAGCAAATAGGTCAGGGTTTCATAGTATTACAATTAGCTTTTATTTTGTTATTTCATTTCATTTTCAGAGCTGCTGGAAGGGCATCTGCTGCGTAAAAACGTGCTGGATAAGTTGGCGGTTCATTCCGCTGTGGCGACCCCGGATTAATAAAGGGACTAAGCCGAAAAGAAAATGAATGAATGAATGAATGAATTTTCAAAGCTCAAAATGAAGGATTTACCAAATTTATGTCTGACCACACCAAACATAAACAATTAATTATTACTTTGCCACATATTTTAAATGTATCAAAACAAGCAAAATATAGCTGTATACTATACTTTTTATTGAACAAAACATAAACACAGTAATCTGCCCCAGCAATCCATTTCTGTGTGTAATAGACATCTAAACATAGATGCCTTGGCTAAAACAAGGCTAAATTTGAGTTGGGAAAATCAAAAATAGTCTGTGTAATCTGTCTACTTAATAACTAATCTATTATCTGAATACTTCTGTTAGACTTCTATAAAAAAAAAAACATTAAAGTAGGCTTATTTTAGCCAAGCAGTCTATGTTTAGATGTCTATCAGACGTCAATTAAACACAAAATTCATTGTTGCACTTTAGAAAAATATGCACTTAAATCTTTAAGTTGAACAAGTGTAACTTAATCGAAGTATAGATTATTTGAACGTAAATCAATTAAGTTGACTTAATAATCAAGTTAAATTAGATTAATTTTGAAGGAAGGGCATCTGCTGTGTAAAACATATGCCACATTAAGTTGTCGGTTCATTCACCTGTGGCGACCCCTGATGAATCAGGGACTAAGCTGGAGGAGAATGAATGAATGAATGTTGAAGTTGAAACTCAGTTAACTTTCTAAATTAAGTTAAAGCAACATAAAAACAGGCATGACTTGAACTATGTCATTTTTTTTTACAGTGTGGGTCGTTAATAATACAAAAACGAACAAGAGAAGTATCAAACAAAACGGAAAGAAGCCCAACGCAAGCATGAGGGTGAGAAGAAGAGAGATATATTTGCTGTCTGCTCCATCCTTTTACCATCCCATCCCCCTAAAAGCATACATCATCCTCGTATGTCCTCCGATCTGTTTTCTTGCACTCTCTCCCTGCTTGTTTTCGCCAGAGGCACAAACGTTAAAATGAACCCACAGTTGACACACTCCACATCTGGAGGGCTTTTCTGAAGCCCTTCCCCCCAAAGGCAGAATTCCTCTGAATTAAACACACACACACACACACACACACACACACACACACACACACACACACACACTTGTACAGCTTTATAGAGACTTCCTTTAGTCGTAGTGATTTTTTTTTCAGTATTGTACAGACTGTATAATGTCAAAAATCCTCTTAAATCCAACCCTTAAAGAATACATTCAGCATTTTTACATTTATAAAATACTTCATTCTGTGTGATTTATGAGCCGTTTTCCTCCTAAAATGTCCCAAGAAGATCACAACTGACTGGACATGCTATACTCGAGACACAACATGAGGAATGCAAGTTGTACCAACACACACACTTCTAGGAGAAACCCGAAGCAGCCGATCATACATGAGCTGGTGGTTTGAGACAGGAAAAGTGTGTTTTTTTACACTAGTTGGAGAAACATCCTCTTAAATATAAACATATAAAAGGCCAGCGGCTCTCACAACAGCCCAGTGCATGTGTGTGGTATTACGGTCCAGTTGCTGTGTTTTTGGGCTGAATACAGTTGTAAATGTGGGACCAGTGGAGCGATAAGGCAATCTAATTCCAGACATTCATAACTTCTGTAATAAAGCACTGTTGCCGACACAAAATCATCACGTAAAAGTGTGTATAAATGTTTCCTCTGGCACAGGTTGGAATGATAGTGTTTATGGAATGAGTACATATGAACATCATTCTAATGCCGTAATGAATGAATTGGCTAGGAAATATTGCAGTTATCCTGTGTCTTTGTTTAGTTTTGTTGTTGTTGTTGTTCTTGTGTTATCCATTAGTAAAAAAATAGTATTTCCAGACATTTTTCTTGATATTAGTAAATAAAAATGTATAGAAATAATAATAATAATAATAATAATAAAATTCAATTTATTTTATTTTAGTTATATAAAGAAAATCGACTGGAAATACCAATATTTATTTAATAATTAATAATAATATAATTAATAATAATAACAACAACAACAACAACAATAATAAAAAATAATAATAACAATAATATTGTTTTTAATAATAATATTATTATTACTACAATTCATATTATTTTTATTTAATTTTATTAAGAAATTTTACTGCAAATACCAATATTTTAATTAATTATTTAATTAATAAGTAATAATAATAATGTTGTTCATGTCAATAATAATAATAATAATAATAATACAATTCATATACATTTTTTTAATAAAATCATGAAAAAACTGGAAATACCAATATTTTTATTAATTATTAATATCAACAACAACCATAATAATAACATATTGAATAATATTGATTATATACATAATAAATTATTATTACATCTATTATTTGATAACAGATTATATTATACTATAATTAATTATTATTATTAATATGCCTTAAAATACCTAAACAAGTCAAAATAACAACTCAACACAACACAACATCCAATCACAAATATGTGACTGTAACATGAGGAATCTCTTTATTATTTCCTGAGAGTCTGAGAGAATAATCCAAACAGACACAGCAATAAAAAAACCTGACCATGAAAAACACTACTTTTTTTACACTGTTTAAATGCAAAACAAGTTTGAATGGCCTTGTAATCATCCATCACTCCACTTAAACTCTACTATTTGTCAGCAGTCTTCCCACACACCTCCCACTGTATGTTTCAAGCAACATGTAATTACCATCACTAATAAGCCATATTCCTGACTCCACTAATGGACACAGCACCCACACATACAGTGCGTCAGATATATACAATAACAAACGCTCCTTATCTGGAAGTGTTTTAATACATCTGGTTCAGGAGGTGGATGTCCAGGGCCCCTTTAAGGGTGTGGGTTCAATTGAAGTTTCTCCTCCCTGCATACATTTGCGATTAAATTCACACACACACACACACACACACACACACACACTGCAGGGTAATAGTATATCAAGCTGAAGATCTGAAATGCTGCACTTCTCAGAGAGACCCACAGCTATACCTCATTTCAGCCAATTACCTAATTCAACAGGAATTCCTCAAGAACAGCTGCAGCCTGCCAAACACACACACACACACACGCACGCATGCTCGCACGCACACACAAACACACACACACATCAAAACTGCCAAAACCTAAATCTCTAAACAGCTTTCCACACATGCAACTCTCAACCCCAGTAAAAGTAAACTCTTATGAGGAACAGGGAGTGTGTAGAAACGCACACAAATACATTTTATCGCACAAGCACAGAAGAAGGCGAGCAGGTGCTGGAATCAAGCCTGTGCCCAGAGCCATTTCAAACAAACAGACTATGGTGCTTGAATGTGCTGGAAAAGTTAAAGATGGACTGAAAATAATTTACATAATTTCTAATGGTAAAAGAAACTGTGAAAACGCTACAGTGAAAATGTGTAACCTGGCTAACAGGACGTTTTCTTGACCATAAATTGACAAAGAATTCCCTGCATGACACTTCTCTTTTGTCTTTTCGTTGACATTACTGTACACAGGCCGGACACTTTATTAGGTACACCTTACTAGTAAAGAGCATAGAGCCACCAAGAGGCGACACTCTAGTGCAATTTGGAAAACAGCCACTAGATGGCTCAGTGGCCAATTTGGAATGAAAATTCCAATAGAACAACAGCATAAGTCTGTAAAACAAACTATTAAAAGTGCTGATGATTGTGATAGTAAGTGTTGTATTGTCGTCTTTTAGGTAGTATCTCAGCTTTAATGCACTTTTTAAATAAATAAATAAATAAAAAACAAAGCAGCAGCTGCCCATCGCGACAGCATTAAGATCCAATGGACTGCCGATCGCTTTCACTCCAACATGGTGGAATACGGGGCTGTTGCTGGGCGCTGCTATTGCAATGGAACGTTCTATTGAGGGTCGCCTCTTGGTCATTCTAAGCTCTTTGTATAGTACCAAAGAATAGAATAATTCTTATATATAGAATAAAAATAGAATAATAGAACAATAGAATACACAGGACATGTCTCTAGTATACTTTTGAAAGGGGAAAAGTGTAACTGTCAATATAGCAAATGAAGCCCCGCCTTCTAGTACAGAAGCCAATCGGCGGTCGCTATATGGCAAATAAAGCCTGCCTTTTAGTACAGCCAATCAGCAATCACTATAGAATGACAATTCTCTGGGGGAGGGGCTTAGACCAGACGTGAGTTTCTGCAGATTTTGTGTGATACGAACATTTAGAAATGACACTACAGAGACAGTTGTTGCTTGATTTTATTGGTTATGAAATGGAATTGTAAGCTTGGCAAGAAGTTTTGGAGAATATGATATTTCCCTATCTGTATGTGGATTTGGGAAGCTTTTAAATTTGGGTAGGCAAAATCCAGGCGGAAATC